AAACTGAATAGGCTAAGGTACACAATATTTATGCAAAGTAAAGTTTTTTTTTGCAAGTATGGTATAATCTAGCTTATGAAAATCTGGCCCGCCAAAACTGTGTGCACTTCCCCGCCAAAAAAAAAAACAGACAATTCGTGCATTGATACGTTACCCTCTACTAGGGTATTGGATTGTTATTTATGTTTGATTAAATTTCTTGGGTTGGTAATGACATGCATTTTTGTTGAACCAAAGATGAGATCATAATGTTGTTAACAAAAAAGAAGTAGGCCAGCTTCGGTACGGGAGCAGTGACAGAGGTATGTGGTTGTTTGATGGTCCATGGGCCTCAATGTAATTTTTATTATGTTTGCAGTGAGTTATACTTTCAGTGTATCTTTATAATAAATCTGATCCTTTTTAGGAGAAAAGTACATAGGTAATTTCTGGTTAAAAATAGTACATATGCATTTAGAATGAAACCGATATAACAAGGATTAAACCAACTAAGTCCACCGATTATGCCTAGGGTACTTTTTGTTTAAGTATCATCGTGCATGCAGCTCCACCAATTCTAGCTCGCGTTGTTGGTGGCATTGCAGGCCTTTCTGACTTCGCCGGGGCCAGTCCCGGTGAGCACCTCAATGCCTCCCATCTTCACCATAGCCCCCGCAAACCTGACCATCCACGCGATAGGGTTGGCGGCATTGTCGGCCACCATGGCCGCTGTCTTGTTGCCGGTCGTTGGCGTCTCATCCATTAGCGTCTGGTCTGACGTGAACAACACCTGCCCAGAGGCCATGTTTTTGTAGAACTGGTTGCTCAGCTTGTTCGGGTCTGTCACACGGTTGTTGCTCACGGAGATGAACCCCCCGCCATTCCTCGGAGGCGGGCACACCTTCTTCAGCTCTGTCGCGAAGGTGGCGTTCATAGTGGGGTCGACAGTAGGGTACAACCGCGGGGTGACGAAGTTGCAGTGCGTGAGGCCGAAGGAGTGCGCGCCGGGAGAGCACCACTAGGTCCTCGGCGTTGAGGCCCTTGGCGGCGAAGCTGTCAAGGAGTCTTGGAGCTGAAACGCGGGCGATGGGATGCCCTGGAAGACCTCGTCGGCGATTGACTGGAAGCCATCCAGGCGGCCGGATGGCATGTGGAAGGTGAACCCGCCCAAGGTGCAAGTGGAGTCGCGCGCCGCAAAGGCCAGGATGTCGGCACAGGAGACGACGCCCGGGCAGACGGCCTCCACGGCATCCTTGATCTTGTTCACGGCTTCGTATCCGCGCAAAGGGATTGTTGTTTTCTCAGTCTCTGGCTTGTTGGCCGTCGGGTTTAGCAGAATGGAGGCATCGCAACCCTGTAAAAAGTCATTTAATTATAAATATATGTTTCCGATTTGTGCATATTTTTGTTAGTAAAAGTTGATAGAATAAATACATTGCATAAACATGAAAATCAAGAAAAGTCTGATTGTACTATTTTCACCTAGACAGTTTTATTCTACTCTTGAATGTTAAAAAAAATGAGACCAACCCAAAGGCTAACCCTTGTTGGCTTTTTTTTATAGGAGAAACTCCGTGAGCACCGCGCGTTCGTGCCGGGACTCGAACTTGGGCGGGCTGGCAGAAACCTCAGCTGCCCAGCCAACAGGTCGACGCCCCGTCCTCTTCTACTCTTGAATGTTAGTAGTTAAAATTAGAAACTTCAATGCATGCTTTCGAGATAGTCTCACGTATTCAAGAAAGGATATAGGAGTAGTATATGTTTGTATAGAATGAAAATGTCACATATGAAATTTATTTAGATTTTCGAATGGAATCCAAAGTGTTTCAAACTGCCGTGGCATGTGTTTCGATAAAGGTACATACCCTGACAAAGCAATCGTGGAAGAAGAGGCGAACAAAGGCAGCACCAATGGTGGGGTCACTGCGGATCATGCCTTGGACGACGTTCCTCACCGTGTCCTCGGCTTTTGGGCACGACGAGTTGTAGAAGCTGTACTGCAGCCCGGCGGCGTTCGACACAGAGCTCAGCGCAGCGGCCATGAACGCCATGAGCACCACAACCTTGTTGGCTGCCATCGCGTACTATTTGTGTGTGTTTACTGAAAGAGACTTGCTGTAAGTGCTTGATGGTGACAATAGTGTGGTTTCGATGAGTATTTATAGATCACGAATCATCGTAAGACTACGAGGACGAACACGCTCATGCATGACCATAATTAATTAGCTAGTGTGTTCACTGGGTACAAAGAATATGTTCGAATGATTAGGAGGTTACCGTACCACACAGGTAGTTGAATTATTTGCAGCTAGAGACGCGTTGACAATGCCACATGATAGCGTATTTTTTCATGGAGGATTAGTAAAATCACAACTACACAATTAATCTGGATGATTAGTTTGTTACAGCATGTGGACTTTTTTTGGGTGGGGACAGCATGTTGACTTTTTTTTTCCAGAACGAAGGCTCGCGAAGAGCCCGACTTTGGATTAACCCACAAAAGAAAAAAAAACCATCAACCGGTAAGAAATACAAACTCTGGATTACAACCTCGAGACAAACCAAATAGAAACAAGAAAAAAAAACGGCACGATACAATGGCACCGGGAGCAGCTCACATGCCAGAGATACAACAAACTAAAAAGGATCAACAAGAGGCACCTAGCTTGAGGATGACAAGGCCTCTTGCTCGCGCGAAGCCGAGGAGAAGGGAAATGCCGGCAAAGGAGAGGAAGATCAGATGACCGAAAGGACAACCGTTGCCACAACACCTGGGACCCTGACGGAAACACCACCCTCCAGATCCATCGTTGAAGAAGGCTCCTGCCTCCTCGCCTGGCTCGAAAGGCATCGCACCGTTGACAAATGGACACGTTCACCCTAGAACCTGGATGAGTGGCACCGAAGGCAGCCACAGTATTGGAACCAGGCAGTCTCGTCCTGCCGTCAACTTCTCACCTGGAGCAGAACATCATCGAAAACCAAGGACCCAGGCGTGCAAGAGGAGAGTTGCCAGAATGGACTAAGGAACAACAGCCAGGACCAAGATCAAATTGAGGAGCTTTTACACAACCGGCTCGCTGGAGTGACACTGCCGGAAGGAATCCCTATCCCCTCCTGTCCAGTAACCACGGGCACCAAACTAGGATCACTACAGCCACACGGTGAGCACTCAAAATGGCCTGAACCAGGGGGGCACCACCACCATTGGAGTTATGCTGCTGCCGCAGACACCCACCGCACACATCACAACAAAGTCCAACTTCCCACCTTGCTCCCTAAGTAGCGCCTTCAAGAAGGATACGACGCCAAGGGCGTCGCTGCCGCCCAACAACGTCGGGGTTTTCACCTGGGAGGCACAAGGGGAAAGGGGGCGAGGAATATATACCTGATAGACGCTCCAGGTAGGTGCGCGGCGCTCGCGGGCGTCGCCACCGTCACAGCCAGACGAGCTGGCTAGGGATTTCTCCTGTCTATATTCCCGTCACTGCTCCCACCCGGAAGAGAACTGACGTCAAGGATGAAGCAGGCCAGAGCAGGGGGGGGGACTTGCCGAATCCACAACTGAGGTTGGAAGGCGGCCATATCTAGCGCCGCTGAAGCCGAAGCGGAAGCTGCCACTGCCACGCCCTAGCCCGCATCCACCAGATAGCTCGCCGTCCACACGGTCGAGGGCACCGGCCCGCACATGCGCCACCATGCGCCGAGGATCCGGTGGCGCCAATCCAGCCGGGGCCGCCGCCCTGGGTCCCGAGGCCCCCCGCGAGCGATGTGGAGCAGCAGGAGAGGCCCCGCCGCCACCTTCTCTTGGGGGACGCAGTATTTAAAAAAATTCCTACGGTCACGCAAGATCTATCTAGGAGATGCATAGCAACGAGAGGGGAGAGTGTGTCTACGTACCCTCATAGACCGAAAGCGGAAGCGTTAAGTAACGCGGTTGATGTAGTCGAACGTCTTCGTGATCCAACCGATCCAGTACCGAACGCACGACACCTCCGCGATCTGCACACGTTCAGCTCAATGACGTCCCTCGTACTCTTGATCCAGCTAAGGCCGAGGGTGAGTTTCGTTAGCACAACGGCGTGTTGACGGTGATGATGAAGTTACCGATGCAGTGCTTCACCTAAGCACTATGACAATATGACCGAGGTGGAAAACTATGGAGGGGGGCACCACACACGGCTAAAGATCAACTTGTGTGTCTATGGGGTGCCCCCCTCCCCCGTATATAAAGGGGGGGGGAGGAGGAGGAGGGCCGGCCTCAAGGGGCACGCCCAAGGGGGAATTTCTACTCCTAGTAGGAGTAGGTTTCCTCCTTTCCTAGTCCAAGTAGGAGAAGAAGGAAGGACATGGAGAGGGAGAAGGAAAGAGGGGGGCGCCACCCCCTCCTAGTCCAATTTGGACCAGCCCATGGGGGGCGCGCTACCTCCCCTTGTGGCCCTTATCTCCTTTTCACTAAAGCCCAATAAGGCCCAATACTTCCCTCTGGTGAATTCCCATAGCTCCCCGGTTCTCCGAAAAATACCCGAATCACTCGAAACCTTTCCGATGTCTGAATATAGCCTTCCAATATATGAATCTTTACTCTCGACCATTTCGGGACTCCCCGTCATGTCCGTGATCTCATGCGGGACTCCGAACAAACTTCGGTCATCAAATCACATAACTCATAATACAAATCGTCATCCAACATTAAGTGTGAGGACCCTACGGGTTCGAGAACTATGTAGACATGATCGAGACACATCTCCGGTCAATAACCAATAGCGGAACCTGGATGCTCATATTGGCTCCTACATATTCTACGAAGATCTTTATCGATCAAACCGCATAACAACATATGTTGTTCCCTTTGTCATTGGTATGTTACTTGCCCGAGATTCGATCGTATCATCATACCTAGTTCAATCTCGTCACCAGCAAGTCTCTTTACTCGTTCCGTAATGCATCATCCCACAACTAACTCATTAGTCACATTGCTTGCAAGGCTTATAGTGATGTGCATTACCGAGAGGGCCCAGAGATACCTCTCAGACAATCGGAGTGACAAATCCTAATCTCGATCTATGCGAACTCAACAAACACCATCGGAGACACCTGTAGAGCATCTTTATAATCACCCAGTTACGTTGTGACGTTTGATAGCACACTAAGTGTTCCTCTGGTATTCAGGATTTGCATAATCTCATAGTCATAGAAACATGTATAAGTCATGAAGAAAGCAATAGCAATAAACTAAACAATCATAGTGCTAAGCTAACAAATGGGTCTAGTCCATCACATCATTCTCTAATGATGTGATCCCGTTCATCAAATGACAACACATGTCCATGGCTAGGAAACTTAACCATCTTTGATTAACGAGCTAGTCAAGTAGAGGCATACTAGGGAGACTCTGTTTGTCTAAGTATTCACACATGTACTAAGTTTCCGGTTCATACAATTCTAGCATGAATAATAAACATTTATCATGATATAAGGAAATATAAATAACAACTTTATTATTGCCTCTAGGGCATATTTCCTTCGGTCTCCCACCTGCACTAGAGTCAATAATCTAGTTCACATCGTCATGTGATTTCACACCAATAGTTCGTATCTTTATGTGATTAGTTCACATCTTCATGTGACTAATACCCAAAAGGGTTTACTAGAGTCAATAATCTAGTTCACATCGCTATGTTATTAACACCCAAAGAGTGATCATGTTTTGCTTGTAAGAGAAGTTTAGTCTGCAGGTCTGCAACATTCAGATCCGTATGTATTTTGCAAATTTCTATGTCTACAATACTCTACACGAAGCTACTCTAGCTAATTGCTCCCACTTCCAATATGTATCTAGATCGAGACTTAGAGTCATCTAGATCGGTGTAAAAAGCTTGCATCGACGTAACTTTTTACGACGAACTCTTTTATCACCTCCATAACCGAGAA